TAACTAAAATAGTTAACTTCATCAGGGCAAGAGCATTGAATCACAGACAGTTTGTTGCACTTTTGGAGGAAAGTGAGACTGAACATCGTGACATACCCTACCATGCAGCTGTCAGGTGGCTCAGCCTGGGCAAAGTGCTGAAAAGAGTATGGGACCTGAGAGAAGAGATTCAAGACTTCTGTGTGAAGAAAGGAAACGACATCCCACAGCTTTCAGATGCAGACTGGATGGCAGACCTTGGTTTTGCTGTAGATGTGACTGCACTAATGAGTGAACTAAATGTCAAACTGCAAGGCAAGGGCCTTTTTGTGCATGACATGTACAGTGCAGTGAAGGCTTTCATGAGAAAGCTGCAGCTTCTCTCAAGCCAAATGGAGGACAACATTCTCACGCACTTGCCAACACTGAAGGAAGCCACACCATCAGCTGATCACCTCCAGAGGTACTCATCCATGTTAGAAGCACTGCATGGTGAGTTTTCAAGGCGATTTAAAGACTTCAAAACAGTTGAGAATGAAATGAACATGATCTTTTCCCCATTTACATGCCATGTGGATGATGCACCCAGTGATGTTCAGCTCATTGACCTGCAGTCTGACACACTTCTGTCAGAGCACTTTAGGTCAGTCTCACTGCCTGAGTTTTACTCTTCCCTGAAAGAGGAGAACTTTCCACACATCAGGAGACGTGCTCAGAAGATGATGGTCCTCTTTGGATCTACCTACATATGTGAACAGACATTCTCAGTGATGAAGTTCAACAAATCCAGATACAGATCCTCTATCACTGATGATCACCTCTCAGCTGTCCTTCGCATATCCACCTCAGACATTGAACCAGATTTCCGTGCACTTGTTCAAGCCCAAGACAGACTGGATTTTTCTCACTGAACAAGTCAAATTAACTGAAAAACAAAAATTAAAAGCACTCATTTCTTTTTGTATAAAGCTGATTCATTTCTTATCTTTAACATACTGTAAAACATCTTTTCAGTATTGGTATATTGAGCAGAATTAAGTTCAACTTATTTTTGATTCGGCCCCCCAACACAGCTCGAGTTTCTGAAGTGGCCCCTTGTAAAAAATAATTGCCCACCCCTGCTCTATATAATCATATATAAGAATAAAACACAGAGGACGGAGATCTCTTTTTCTCCCCCTCTTCTGACAGCCCAGCAGCTGATCTCAAAGCACGCTCCCCTCTCCTGCAGGGGGGCGTGGTCAGCTGCAGCTCACAGAATCAGCCCCCTGCAAAAACAGGGCTGGAAAGAGCAAATAGAGCGAAATGAGGCATGGCTAAAATGCAGGATCTGTTTGGTATTTTGAAAAAAAAACTATATTTATATACTTTATATAGGTATGGCCCTACAATATATTGTTCAAATATAGCATGATATGTCCCCTTTAAAGTAAGTCACACAGACTCTCTCCTCTTTACTCTTCTCTCTGTGAGGAGCAGCAGGTTCAGCTGTCAGAACAAAGTGAAAAACAAACAATGGCATAAAATATTATTAATATGTCGGGTAGTAATAGATTTATTTATTTTCTTCTCAGAGTGTACCAGAATGCGTAGTTTATATGTTAGTATTTCAAAAAATCTCCTGGGGGAGAATCCCCCCAGACCCCCCCTTCTGGGGTTGGGTTTTCAGCATGTGTGCCTTTTTATGTTATACAGTTCAGCGTTGATTCCTTCATCTCATTAAACCTTTTTTAAAGCATACTGTACTTTGGTTCTGTGAATGGATATAAGGGATATATGCACTGTACTTCACTTTAATTAATATTGTATGCTGAAAAGCATATATATTACAGCACGATTTTTTGTTGAATAGATTTCAGTGGTTGAAAATGGTGGGTCGCGATTTATTGACAAAGTAAAAAGTGGGTCCCGAGGCCTGACCAGTTGAGAACCACTGCTCTATATGTATGTATGTATGTGTTGAGGCTACAAAATCCAACATTTTCAAGCAAGAAGCACACTTATCGCATTTGGAGGTTTTCTAGATCAAGGCAAAGGCTATTCTTTCTCTTCCCCTTTTTGCATTTGAAAGAGGAGGAAGGAGTGAGGCAGGGGTGGAAGGAGGCAAAGGGGACAAGAGAAGTTGGCATAGTGTTTCCTCTCTGTATGCATTATGGATGAGGCGCGTCTGTGGCGCTTGATCAACAGCTCTCTGATGGCTTGGAGGTGGCCTGCTGGGGTTACCTAAGACTCTGTGTTTGTGTCTTTTTGTGTTTGAGTGTGTGTGACTAGAACTGAAAAAGTTGGGGTAACATCTGCCCCCACACACAGATAACAAATAATACTTGGAATATTGTTATATTTATTTACAATCTTTAATTGTGACATAACTATATGTTAGCTTGTGAGTTTGATGCACTACACCTAAAAAAAGAGCTGAAAGGAGATGTTTCCAGAGGAGGGGGACATATATCCATTACATTATCAGAGTGTCTATTGGTCACTATAACGACATGATTAGGGCACTTTACAAAAACCATGGCAACATGACAAACACAACTTCCAATTCACAGAGAAAGATATTCCTTGGGTGTTTATATGATGTACTCTGATCTCTAAACTGAGACCAGTCCTATTGCCGCAGCAGATAACAACTTTTAACACTCGTTTCACTCATGACATACAGCTGTTTAATATTTATAATCTTTGCTTAAAGAGTACTCCATTTTGTCAGTATGTACAAAACACATTGCTGGAGGATTTTCAGGGACATTCGTTAGTAGTCGATGAAGTCTAGTATGTCTAAGACTAGAAGGCACTCAGAAAGACAAGCCTCCACAAACACCATATTATTATTCTCTCCTTGCTGTAACACAAAACTCTTCAATGTAAGTAAGGAGCTTCTGACAGTGGGACACTTGAAAAGAGTAGAAGTCTTTATTGCTTTTGCTGTTATTCATCGTTGCAGTAGTTTCTGTTCTCTCCTTTCCTTTCTTTTTTTTACTGACAACAGGGTTTTGAACACACACTATGTTGTGCCTGAGGAGAAGAGACTGGCAGCAAAACAAACACTTGACGTGCAACAAAAAGCATGTCTGTTTTGTTTCTACTATTGGCATCGCAGCAGGAATGATCGCATCACAGGATGGTCTCTAGCTGGTTATAATTATTTCTGCACAGCTGACTTAGAGCCACCAGCACGCACTGGCACAATACCATTGCAGCATAAAATATTGTCGCCTCCAACTATGTGTTTTGAGCTAGTTGACTTTGGTAAGCATGGATCGAAATGACAACACCTCTGTATTATATATAAAGGTAGGTAGCTTTTTACAAGGTACTTCTGCATTTATAATAGCTGGTGTGTATGTCTCCATATCGCCTGTCTAAACACTGGAAAGTGAAAGTGAGGTGCTGAGGGACCGATTGAATTGACAAAGCACTCTTCTGAAGAATCACTGGAGGGGAGACAGCTGGCTCTATCTCTACGTTTCCCCAAATCTCTTTTACTTCTCTCACAACCAACACTGCCTTTAGATTATGTGAGAAACAAACTTTCTGATGATGACAATTATATCCCTCTCACATTCTCTGACTTTGTTACTCTCAACTCTCTACTATAGGTTTTTCTTCACTTTACAGAGTTGTGTTTTTTTTCATTTCATTTAATCGTTTATTTGGCAGGGACAATGCACAGTAATGAACACTTAAAACATTCAAATGTGTCAAGCGTAACAGTGCCAGATTTAGCTTTGAGCTAATTTCCATCCGCAGTCCCTCACATAAAGCATTTAAGAAAATTACATTTTGCAAACATAGCAAAAACAAAATACATGATATGTATGTTTTCTTCGTATTCTTTTGGCCGTATTTTGTTTTTTTCCCTACTATCTCCGTCTTTCTCTGTCCCTTCCCTTCTCCTGCTGCTCTGGTGTCTATATACAGGTCAAAAAAGTCCAGCAGATGCTTTGGACCTAACTCAGGGAGACATGACCTTATCACCATGGCAACTCTTTATAACCATGAAAGCCATCGTTACCTGGTCGAGTTGGCATGTGTGTATACTATTGCCATTTGAGAGGATTCTCTACGGGTTTCCCCAATTTACTGTCCTTTTCGTACATCCTACCATGGGTTAATTTGGGTCAGGTCTGTGAAGATTGCTAATGTTTTACTAAAATATTACAAAACCACAGCTGTGTTTGCAGTTAAAGTATTACAAAACTGCCATAGTGTGTACAGATATGATTAAAAAATGTTTTCGACAAATCAGCTGTAATCTATGCAAAAGTAAAGATTAGTCTTTTTCTATGAATACCATCTGGAAACAGACAAAATGAACTATAATGCATTTTCTGCAGTGCCATGCTCATCAAAACAAGAAATCTGGCAGTAGAAATGTCAAGACAGACAAAATACATGGACTCATTAGTAAACAGCAAACATGTCACTCACACATAACAGCTCAGACATAAACATGAGCATGTGGGTGTACACACACAAAAAACAGATACTCTCGCCAACTGACAAACAAGTACATAGTGTCAAAACTATTCAAACACCTACACATTTGGTAAATTACCAAACAAGGACTTCTTGTTCCATCCCAATACATACAAACTCACACAAACACAGCAACTTGCATGGCATATACTCCATATTGTTTAAGTGTCAAATACCATATTTCCACTAAGCTCTACGAGCTCTATATCTGCTTGCCTTAAGCAAACGTTTCGGATTCAGTGAGTGTGGCATTTAAGATGATGTCACAAAAATTGAGTTTAGTCAAGCATACACGTACTTTGCAGTGGAAACAGTGACCCCCTACTTTGGTACACTCAGTCCATCGCCATTTCTATGATTACATCACTGTCACCTCTAACGTTTATGTTAAGCCAATGTTCTTTCCAAACATTAACTGGCACGGTGCCATCTCCACACACAAAAGGACCATCTCCATATTCAACAGGCGAAACACAGATCCACATATCCTCTACTACATCCACACAAACACCTCTCAAAAGCTTTAGCTTTATTCCTACCGTCTTTGCGGTAAAGGTTGATCTCCACTTTCCTTTCCTCCGATCCCAGCAGGGCTTGTGCCATCTGTGCGATGGCCAATCTCTTGGTGTCAGGTCCATACAGGAAGTTACACGTGCATGGCTTTTGCATGATCTCAGCACGCGAGTAACCACACATGTGGCAAAAGCCATCATTGCAGAAGATGATGGCGCAGTTCTCCACTCTTGCATTGGCGATGACGAACTTGCGACCTGTGGACAGAATGAGAGAAGTTCAGTTTTTAAAGAAGCAACAACACCAATATCTAATCAATGATATGTGGGGTTTCCACCAGAGTAATGTTAGCGGCACATGGGGCATAGCATTGGGACAGTTTTTCTGTGTACTAAAAGTACACAGAAAAACTGTTACAACAAACTCCTTAAATAAATAATTGTGTGCGTAAGTTGTGTGTGTTAGATTGGCACGTATTTTGGCAGATAGAGGGAGTGAATATGAGTGAGCGCACATTTGACAGTGAGTATTAGTGATGTATGAAAACAGTCCACTAGTCCATTTAACGCTGCTGCCTTAATTTTCGACACCAGAACTATATGTCGTTTATAGTTATTATTATTTTAGTCATGTACAAATTTCAACAGTTGTGGAGGACGTTTTTGGAACCTTAAGGGAAGTAAAAGTGCTAATACTATACTCTACTACTTGCCTATGCAAAATGTACTTTTGTGAGAAAAAGTAGAAGTAGTGTGAGAAAGTAGTTATAATGCAGTTACATTTTGTATGTATGTTGAAATGTACTGCAGACAGTGTTTAAGTTTCTAAATGTACTGTAGGTAATTCTAATAGCATTTTATTCTATAAGATATTCTTTGTAGTTTTGTCGCTGTCCTGTACCTCAAAAAAGTCAACTTTTCACAAGGAATTTAGAGAGACAGCAAGCGCATTTTGTGGCATCTGCAGGCAGTGGCAAGTACTTTCAGCATCTGCCACAGAGGCCACTACTCCGTGGCATCTGTGGCAAGTACTTCTGGCATATGCCACAGATGCCACTACGTGCCGATGCATCTGCTGCTGCTGAACGGGAGTTGCCACAAGACGCCAGAGTAAGAGAAGGTTTACGGTAGCTGCCACTCGCCTTCCGTGGCAAATGCTGCTGTTTAAACCCGTATTTATTGTGTAAAATGTCACTGTTTAGGCATGACTTTATCGAACTGATCTGTACACAGGACTGATGATCTGTACAGGACTGATGGTACGATCTCTATTTTTCAAAAAGATTAAACATTATCATTTCTATTAGATTTTACTTGGAGAACGTGGTTTGTTAAAATAAATAAACGTGCTATTTTTATGATAATACTCTATATATTATAAGTAAATAAAGACAACTTATTGTGATCTATCATTGTTGACCAGAGGTGGGAAATAGGCTAACTAAGGCGCCGTTTACACGAGCAGAAAACTGCTTGTATCTGCATAGTTTCGCGTGCGTATAGCCCTATTATTTACACGAGGCCGATAGAAACTGACCCCACAAACGATAACGGGTCCCAAGGTGGATAGATTTGCAAACGAAACGCTCTGGGGGGTCAACCGAGTCCGTGTAATCACCTCTATACGAATATTTCCTGAAAAAATAACGATAGCCCCACCTTTCCCCACCTCTCCTGCTCACTGCTGTAGCATGGCTGTGTTAATTAAACGCACAAGGGGTTCTTGAATGAAATAATATTATAAAAGGCAAACCAGAATTGTTAACGCCCAATATACTCCTTAAACAAAATAAACAGAGTCAGATTTCATGCATTGATCCATTATATTGACAAAGGAGGATCTCACCCGGTGTTTGTAGAGAATATCTCTCTGAGCGAGTCCTCTCCACGGAGACATGCTCCTCCTCCTGTCAGTAGCTACTGCTAGTGCTACTGCTACTGACCATGCTACAGATATTAGTGCAAAAATATACAGCTCCTCTACCACAACCATCAGCAACAAGTGGACATGGAGAATTACATGAACTACATGTTGCTAAATCCACGGCGGGGCGTAAACAGAAGGGTAGCCATGGCAACATTGCTGCGGGGCTGCTGCGGAGTCTTCTTCACTGCTTTTGGTGTATTTTGTGGCGGAAGTTGCAGCGCCACTTACTGTCCCGGCATATGTACTACAGCGTTTCCAGCGGTCTCGTTTGAACAGACACGTTAAATGAAACGAATGCATGTGAACGGAAGACTTTTTTGAATATGCATACTGTGCATAAACGCAAACGGTCCCGTGTGAGCGGGGCCTAAGTAGGCTACATACTCAAGTACTGTACTTGTGATTTAGAAATAGCCTACTTGCCAGATTCTGATTAATGATGAGAAATATAATCAAGTCTTAAATCAGACTTTAGTTACTCCTGGAGTAAATTCACAAGCTACCCTACAGTATACAAAGTCATTAAAACTAGCTGCACCTTTACCAGCTTTGATAACACTTTAATGATCACTAATTATAATGAAAACATGTAATATGTACTTTAAGTATATGTTTATGCTAATACTTTTGCGCTTTTACTTGAGTAACATTTTAATACAGGACCTTTACTTGTAACAGAGTATTCCTACATTTAGGTAGGCTACTTCTACTTTTACTTAACACTAGAACTGCCAGGGGTCGCTGTATAGCCTACCTAAAACCGCCAACGGGTCAAATGTACCAGCTATTAGAATGCATTGATTTTCAAGGTACAATGTTATTTTATTTATCATACTAGAACACAGGGCTAACAGTGAGTGTTGCCACTACTCGCCGTTGCATGTGCCTTGGCATTTGCAGGCAGTGGCAGGTACTTCCGGCATCTGCCACAGATGCCACTACTTGCCGAGGCATCTGCGGCAGATGCCACTACTTGGTTTTGCCGAGGCATCTGCCGCTGCTGAACGGAAATTGCCACTAGATGCCGGTGTTAGAGAAGGTTTACGGTAGCTGCCACTCGCCTTCCGTGGCAAATGCTGCTGTTTAAACCCGTATTTGCAGATGCCATTACTCCGTGGCATCTGTGGCAGGTACTTCCGGCATCTGCCACAGATGCCACTACTTGCTTGCTATTATTTCGTAATTTTAAATGCAGTTTCTAAAGCTGAAACCCTGCAAGCACTGCAAAGCTGGCAAGGGGAGACTGATGAGGATGACTCACCATACGAGCTCTTCACCTTTGCATTTGACCAAAGAAAGAAAACGTTCTGCCAAGCACTAGTTACAGTCAAGCATTACAAATTGTTCACCAGTTTCGAAACACAATAAAAGGGTTGGATAAAAAAACATGAATTGTGTCTTGCTTTTTTACTATAGCCTACTGTCATGATTGTCTAAACAGAATAACATGGTTTGTTTAGATTCACTGATATAAATATCAAATAAGAATCATCTGAAGCATTTAAATAAAAATGTTTAATCAGAATTAAAATATTAAACAACAAAACAGATAGAATGAAATTAATCTGTTTATTAACAACGAAAAAATAAAATAATTAAGTATGCCTACATTTAAAATAACACATTTATACATGTGTACAATCAAATATAACTGTCCTTTGCCTCATTTATAAAGTATAAACCTTAGCATCTCACTAGCAATGGCAACTGCAATCAGTTACAGCTGCCCTAAGTCTGTAGCCAAGTCTAATAACACCAGTGTACACGTTGCTGTGTCAATACAGATTTGTTAATTATTTGTCTTTACTAGTAATAATACACCTGGTTTATCGTAGCAAGCAGTGGAAACTCCCCTCCAGAAGCGACAATTGCCAAGGGCTTGCGTTGCAACACTCACTCGCCAATATTTCTTTTTTATTACAATATATTTTTAGTAGCCGACTATCATAAATATAGCACGCTTGTTTATTTTTAGCAAACCACGTTCTCCAAGTAAAATTGAATAGAAATTATCATTTATAATCTTTTTGAAAAATAGAGATCGCACATCAGTCCTGTGTACAGATCAGTTCGATAAAGTCATGCCTAAACAGCGACATTCTAATCTACACGATAAATACGGGTTTAAACAGCAGCATTTGCCACGGAAAGCGAGTGGCAGCTACCGTAAACCTTCTCTTAGGCCCAATCCCAAACCACGCCCTACACCCTACCCCTACACACTACCCCTCCGTTTGCGCGTTCGCGCGGAGGGTCCGCCACATTAAGTGCTGTTCCAAACCAACGAGTGTGGAGAGGTGTGGAGGGGGAGTGGGCTATCAAGCCCTCAAACAGCGAGTCTGCATCGGTGCTGACTTGAGACTGGTCTCTACCAAGCCCCCAGGAAGTGCGCCGGACTCAGATGACAATATTCGTGCTGGCCAAACGGCGGTACTACACTTCCTTTTGGTTGCCAGGCCCGTAAACACTTTTTCCCATTGACTTACATGGGGAAAGAGTGGTCTGTAAATCGTTGGATAATTTTTTTTAAACTAAATAAACTACCCAGTATGAACACTTGTATAGCCCTTATTAAAAACATTCGTTCCTCAAGTTGTAAAAATGTGCTAATAACGTTATTCTGAGAGTTATTTCCCTCTGCATTATGAACGCGCATCTAACCCACGGGACCGCGCCGCCCGGCACGTTCATGTTACGTGTTCAGCACGAGTACATGCGTTTATCTTTACCCATGGATGTACAATAAGAACGGACCCATATCGCCTTACTGCCAGCCCACGGAGCTGTAATAATGGATATATTGCACATGTTTGCTGTAATTCATCATTTGTAAAATATTATACTACATGGGCTGTATGATTAAATCTTGTACCGTAAATGTTGTATTAAATAAAGTTAATATTACCGACGTAGATTAACGTCCCTGTAGCTTCTTATTGCACTAAGAAGCTTATTGCACTGTATATATATATACATATATATATATATACAGTGCAATAATTCTGTCATGCTAAATGAAGCTCTGTTGCTTGGATATCACTAGATCCTGTTACAGCGTAATATAAAAGTACATAACGATTGATGTGTAAATTAGCATAATTACTAGCTAACCGCTAGCTGCTAACTGCCGCCTCGTTAATATCAAATCTATCATAATAACAAACCATTACCATGCTGTCATGAACGTGCGGTGCTGTTACGTGTACGCAAATTGACGTGCTTGATGTGAACGAGCATTTTGGGGGGCATGGTTAAAGTTGCGCATGCGCTATGAGCGCACATACGGGTACTTCTCAGGCATGCCGGGTAATCTGTGACGTTTCGCTCTCTC